AAATTGGACTTTAAACTAAAATCAGTCAAAAGAGATGAAGAAAGTAATTTCCTACTCATCACAGGGGAAATCCATCAGGATGAAGTCTCAATTCTGAACATTTACACCCCAAAAACAAAGGCATCCATGCTCGTAAAAGAAACATTACTAAAACTCAAATCACACATAAAACCGCAAACACATATAGTGAGAGATTTCAACACCCCACTCTCACCACTGGACAGGAACACCAGACAGAAACTTAACAAAGAAACAAAAGAACTAATAGAAGTTATGGCACAATTGGACTTAACAGATATCTATAGAACATTCCACCCAAATACAAAACAATTTACCTTCTTCTCAGTGCCACATGGAACCTTCTCTAAAATCGACCACATACTTGGAAACATAGCAAACCCCAACAAGTAAAAAAAAATTGAAATAACCCCATGTGGCTTATCAGGCCACCATGCTTTAAAACTAGAATTCAACAACAACAAGAACTACAGAAAACCTACAAACTCATGGAAATTAAATAACACCCAATTGCACAATTCATGGGTCCAGGAAGAAAGAAAAAAAGAAACTAAAGATTTCTTAGAATTCAATGAGAATGCAGACACAACATATTCAAACCTATGGGATACTTTGAAAGCAGTGCTAAAAGGAAAGTTCATAGCACTAAATGCCCACATGAAGAAACAGGAGAATAATCACACTAGAGAATTAACAGCACAACTAAAAGCTTTAGATAACAAAAAAGAAGCCAATACACCCTGGAGGAGCAAACACCCGGAAATAGTCAAAGTGAGGGCTGAAATCAATAAAATGGAAACTAGGAGAACAATACAAAGAATCAATATAACAAAAAGTTGGTACTTTGAGAAAATCAACAACATAGACCAACCATTATCCAAACTTACCAAAAAACAAAGAGTGAACATGCAAATTAATAAAATCAGGAATGAAAACGGAGACATAACAACAGACACAGAGGAAATCCAGAAAATCATCAGGTCATACTTTGAAAACCTATATTCCTCAAAATTTGAAAATCTAAAGGAAATGGACAATTTTCTGGACAGATTTCACTTACCAAAATTAAATCAAGAACAGATAAGCAACTTAAATAGACCTATAACCTCTAATGAAATTGAAGCAGTCATTAGAAGTCTCCCAACCAAAAAAAGCCCAGGGCCAGATGGCCTCAGTGCAGAATTCTACCAGAAATTCAAAGTACAGTAATACCAATTCTCCTCAAAGCACTCCACACAATAGAAGCAGAAGGGTCATTATCAAACTCTTCTTATGAGGCCACAATAACCTTGATACCCAAGCCACACAA